CCCTCTTCCTTATCACCCAAATTTCAGTTCTCTCAATCAGACTAAAGAAAGCACTTGTTAGAGATAATCCAGTGAGATTCAAGTAATACTGTCTTTAGTGTTTAAGAAAAAACCCCACAATCATGTGGAAAAGTATCATATCGGAAATGAGAAGATTCAGAATTCAGCTTCTTCTGTCTTTGCCTCTTAAGAGCTGTGCGACTTTGAGTAAGTCACTTAAGCTCTCTGAGCTCAGGAACCTAAGCTTTATTTATTTATTTATTTATTTATTTATTTATTTATTTATTTATTTATTTGGGAGACTAGTAGCACCTTCTCTAACTCCTCTCCAGTGATTATGAACCTTACATGAGATCAATAGGTAAAAGCAGTTTTGAACCCTGACTAGCAATTCATTCCCCTTACAGTGGGAATTGAGTAATTTTAGAATTCTAGGAATCATCTTGGAAAGAAGAGCATTAAAAAGAGCCTACAAGTGCTGGGCGCTTTCCATAAATTACCTCCCTTAATTCTCACAGCCACTTTCTGTGGTAATCATTATTACTCCCAATTTATAGACAGGCCAACTGAAACTCAGAGATTAGAAGCCTGATATTTATTCATATCATAAATAAGTAGAAGAGCTGGAAATCGAAGCTGAGTTTATCTTGTTAAGCCACTACACCTTGCAGCCACCCAGCTAGTTGTTCTACTGCTTCCAGGTCAAAAGCAAACAAAATATTTCTTCAGTCAGAAGCAAGTTAAAAGGAATTGCCAAGTGAAAGCAGGGCTACTGCACAATCAGCTTTGTCTTGAATATAAGTCCTGTCCTGTTTTAAGCACTCCCCAGTGGTTTCCCTTAAATACAATCCATCAGGCAATCTGGCCACAGCCTCTGCCCCATCTCATCCATTCTCTCCTTTCCTCACTTTACTTCGCCACATTAGCCTTTTGATAGTTCTTTGCACATACCAAACTCTCCTTCACAGGGTCTTTGCCTGCACTGTTAGCTCTGGATCTTTGTTTTTCCCCACTCGCCATGGCCCCCTTATGCTCTGCATCCCAAAGGCTCATCTTAACTGTTCCTTCCTTTAAAAGACCTCCCCTAAAACCTCATCAAAAAGAAGCTCTTCCTCTCATACTCTCTCAGCTTTGTGTTTTCTTCTTTTTAACATTTATCATAATTTGAGATTAATTTATTCACTTGTTTATTTTTTCTCTATACCAACCACCCCACACACCCTCCAAGAATATAAGCCCAATGAGGCAAGAGTCATATTGGTCTTTTTGTACCACAAGACTTGGCACGGAGCAGTCATTCAGCACGTTAAATAAAGGAAAGAGAAAAATGGGAGAAATGAGTGAAGAAAGAGGATGGGGTATTTTAAAATGTATGTGGCCCGGCCGGGCGTGGCTCAGCGGCTGAGCATCAACCTAGGATCCAGGCGATCGGGGTTCGATTCCTGGTCAGGGCACATGCCCAGGTTGTGGGCTCGATCCCCAGTCGGGGCCATGCAAGAGGCAGCCGATCACTGACTCTCTCTCATCATTGATGTTTCTATCTCTCTCTCTCCCTCCTCTCTCTGAAATCAATAAAGATATATTTTTAAAAAAATGCATGTGGCCTGAATTTGTTTGTTGTAAGAATTTATGAAAAGATAATGGTGCATAATCAACATAATATTCAATGATTCATAACTTTTCTCTATTGAAAATATATCCTTTGTATGAAAGCTCCAGTTTCAAAAACTTCAAATTGACTTACATTATTTAGCATATTTGGGGAAAGAAAACATTTATTTCTTCTACCTGGTGGCCTGAGAATAGCTCATCAGCAGCTGGAGAGGCTCATGGCCATGCCCCCTTCAGTAGTCCCAATGGACAAGTGAACAGAAGAGGATTCCAACACCTCCATGCTCAAAAGCAATGATATTGCTCTTAGAGAAGTCACTTGGTGTGAGGGCTCAGGCTACTAGCATTCCAAGTTTAGTTTTGATCCCTGAAATCTTGGATAAATCCTTGGAACTTTGCTCCAGTGTGGTCCTTGTCAGGTGGGATATGACTGTGCAAGAAAGAGTGACAAAAAAGACTAGAATGGAATAAGAAACAGCTCTAGGAAAGGATGAGTAAAAGAAGATTCTGGAAAGCTGGAAAGAAATCAGAAAAATAAATAGGACTAGGATACCTAATGTTAACCAGTCACTTCCCATGTGCCAGGTACTATTTCAAGTGCTTTATAAGCATTAAATTCATTTAATGCTTTCATCCACCTTAGGAAATTGGTACCTTTATTATTCCCATTTTACACATAAAGAAACCGAGGCAAAGAGAGGTAATGTAGTTTGCCCATGATCACATAACTTTCAAAGAAGCTCTTCATTTAAAGGCTCAATAAAATGGATGAGTTGGCATATATATGATTCATTTAGAGTTGGAAAGGGGATAAATGAGGTTAGAGATGGGATCTGAGTTTATGAAGATTTATAATGATGTTATTGAGGTTTTAAATCCTAAAAACCTTTGTTTCATTTTAGAAAGTAATTCTTAACTCTGATCTCTTTTTTATCCATCCCACCAAAAAGCTAATGAGACTATACTAGAGAATTAAGTCATAAAAAAGATATGCAACAATGACTTCTTTTGTTTGGGTGAAAGCAGTCTCAAGCATGAGAGTTACTATGTCGTTCTATTGCTACCATACTTGTAATAATGTTTTGTTACTCAGCCCTGCTTCTCTCTTCCCTCCACTTTGCCCCAAAAGATCAATATACTTCTAGTGATAATAGAGAAGGGCATTAACATAGTAAGAGAAAAATAATTCAGAGGTTAGGGGTTGGCCATAGAAGGTAATTCCTCAGACACTATAAAATCCTTGTTTACTTGGTTTGCAACCAGGAAACTTAGCTAATAACCATAATTTTCCCAACTCCTCTTGCAATTGCCAATCCAATCCAGTTCTTCAGTGGGGCACAGTAAAAAGAAAATGCAAAGGCATTTGAAAAAGCTCACCCATTTAGATTTAATTACATACATAACTGGTGTCCTCCCGAGTGTGAAAATGCTGTAACCAATAAATCAGACAATAAAATGCTATCTGAGCAGAACAGATTTATAGAGATGTGTGAGCAATCAAAATTCACTGACTTGCATTGTGTCAGTGCAACTTTTACCCACAAAAGTTTTTAGATGCAAGAGCAAATCCTGCTCGTTGAATCTTGCCTTCTTTTGAACACCTAGGTCAGTCATGTTCCCTAAAGGGGTGTTCTTGTGCAATGACTTTGAAGGGAACAGGAGATTTCCATCTTAAAAACTTCCCTCTGTGTTAAAGGATTACTAGATCTGTGTTTGCATGTTAGATTTTAACGACCATCTCATTTGTCTAGTACTGTCTCTTACATGCTTAATTAATAACTACTAAATGAAGCTTAATTAAGTAGAAAGAGTATTTCACATTAAAGCTTCCTTGAGATACACAATCGAGGAGGCTACAGACTTCTGCAAAGCCAAATTTTTAAAAATGTGACATTTAGATCACCAAATATTTTCCCAATTAGTATCATAAAAAAAGGCTCTTTGTAGCAATAGTAGTGAGATAATTCAATCACTGCAAATGATTTTGATCTTTATGAAACTCATTTTTCAATATGCCTTGGATTGAAATTTCTTGTGAATGACCAACTTGTAGTTAGAAAGGTGGAAAAGCTGGAGTCTTGAGTCTCGTCATCTTCTGGGCCTACCTTTGCCCAGTGTAAATGGTCACCACATTTTTAATGCTCCCATCTGGAATAAAATTAAATGGAAAAAAAGTTTCCCCTTTTAATAAAACCTTGTGAAAAGAATATGATAATCTACTTTATAGCTGCTGGTGAACTGCGTTCAAGGCACAATCTGATATCTGCAGACACTTTCCTAAGGAAAAGAGCCAATCAGCTCAGCAACTTCCTCATTTTTTGTACATATGAAAATGAAAATGTAACTGACTTTAGGATTCACAAAAATCATCCATGGTTACGAGTATAAAAATAAAGAAAATAAATAATAGCAAGGCCTTTTCTTTATCATTAAAGTATAATGCTCTTGATTTTTTCATTGACTGATTCAGAAAGCAAAATGGCTTTGCTTGAGTTGAAATACTTCCCTTCTTACCTTACTTTCTCCATGACAACATAAGGCTAAATTTAAGTAATTTTGGTTAGACTAGTATTGGGTTTTTTGTTTTTTGTTTCTTTTATTTGTTTGGGAGTTCTAGGCTCTGGCAGGAGAGCTGGCATATAACAGTGTGAAACAGGCAGTTTCTTGACTGACTCAAACAAAATCCATTTCCTCACTCCCTAGCTGTGGATTTTTAAGCCTGGAACTGGCTCCTGCTCTTGTTTCTCTCTGTATTTGTCAGTTAACAATTACACATCTGCTCCAATGGCAACAAACTTTGCTGAAAAAATAAATAAGAATGCTTTCTTTCTTTGAAATATGCTGAATAATGCAAGCAAGTCCATTTGAAGTTTTTGAAATAGGAGCTTTTATTCAATTTATTCAATACTCAGATTTCGTAGATTTGGACACTCATTAACCATATAGAAAGATCATATTACTTCAGCAGGCTGTCTCTCTCTCTCTCTTTTTTTTTTTTTAATATTTCCCACTTGTTTGTCTCTTTCCAGTTTCTCTAGCAACTTATTTGTTCTCTTACCATACATGCTGGGCTATGCTGAAGTTAATGGAACTGCTTAATAAAGTCCACCGAATCCCCACACAAGAACCTTTCACATAGAAGAGAATGCCTTTCACTTAAAAAAAAAAAAAATACTTTTAAGAAATACATTTATGAAAAGTTGCCCGTCGTGATTTGGAATTCATTATTTGATCAAGACACTACCCTCAGGACTGCATTTTGCAAGGCTTTCATTTTTGTATTTGCAAAGGGCTCTTTACCCAAGTTACTTAAATTGACCTTTTTATGCTTTAAATCAATGTCGTTTTTAGAAGCCTGAGGCAAAGCAGCAAACAGAAATTGTACTGACCTTAGTATATTGAAACTTCAAATTGGTGAGTGGGACAGGTAAGTCTGACATGCCTGAGGATGACATTGCTGGTTCAGCTCCTGAAATACAGGTGACAGGCTCAGCGATTTGTTTCTGATAGAGCCCTTGGCTTTATTTGTTCCTTTTTATCTGCACGGGCGAAGGTTTATTTGCATACTGGGATATGATTGGACGGACAAACTCGGAGCAAAAAGAAAATGACACTACTTATTTGTAACACCTAGTGCAGGAAGCCCTTGACTTTCAAGTTAAATCCTTAAGAAACCGGCGCTGCGGCGCTGAAGCCGCATCTGGACGCGGCGCTATTTGCAGACGAATTAATTCTCAAAGCCGGGACCTGCGGGGAGGGTTCGCAGCGCAGCTGTTCTGGCCACGAGGGCCAGTTATTATTTTTTTGGCTTTTTCTGCCCCTGGGAAACTTTCCGTTCTCTGACAGGCTTGGAATCAGAGGATCTGAGAATTGGGAGTCTAAAGGGGCTCTTGTTCTCAGCATAAGCTGGTGAGGAAAGGACCCTAAGGCAGGTGTCTTTAGGTCAGTGCCGCCAGGGAAAAAGTTGCTGTTTGGGGAAGAAAGGCCCTCTCTCCAGACCCCACCCCAAGTCAGCTTTTTAAAAAAATTATACCAATCAAGTGTGTATTTTAACTGCTGGGTAAGTAGACCCACTATCATTTTAGGAGCTCTAAAGTATATTTTATATATGGGAATAGAAAAGTCAGCAGGGTTTTTAGGGAACCCAGAGGGCCCTGTCACACACGGTTACCGCAGCAGCAATATGGCAATATGGCAATATCGTATTTAAGACTCACTTAAAATGAAAGTAAACTCTGGTTCTGGAAGTTGGCTGTATTTCTCAATCGATGCAGGCAATTGTACAAGGAGTAAATTTAAACAGGACTCTCAAGTAACTCAAGTTCTTAAAATTAAATTAATATTTCAAGCTGGGAACATCCGAAAATGAAAAGTTTTAACTGTTCTATTCCCATTTCAAGTACAGCACTTCATTGTATTTAAGCTCTAGCAAAAGTTACAATAGGAACAGACAGAAAACTCTGGATGCTCTTAATTCTGACTACAGCACTATGAATTAAATAGTTTTTTCTCCTAGTGAAAACTGCCAGATCCCCCCAAACACGGGATTTAGGTAGGAAAACATAGGCTCATTGAATAGTTACTCCCAACCAGGTGCTGGAGCCTCACTTTCTCTTTCCATCCTTCCCAGGCTCCCCATTTTATAGGCGGCCAGACAGAGAGTAAGTAGCTTGCTTATGATCACAAATCTAGTAACTGTAAGACAAGAATTTCATTTCCCAGGTAACTGGCTGTTTTGGTTCTCAAAATGAATAGTTACCCTCCCAGGCACTTTCACAGCTTTTTATTCATCTAAGACAGGGTCAGCAAACTTTTTCTGTGAAAGGACAAATAATATTTTTTTGCTTTCTAGGCCAGATGGTGTCTATTGTAATTTACTTAGGCTCTGAAAGAAACTATAGACAATAGATACTAATGTCTGTAGGTGTTTTCCAGTACAATTTTATGTTCAAAAATAGGAGGCAGGCCAGAATTGGCTCATGGTCCAGGTCCCTAGATTCTAAGGCAACTGTCCCCAAGGTCCTTGCCTCCCCTGTGCCTCATGTGTGAAGACCAGATAGAATCTTCTGGGTTAGTTCAACATTTTTTCTATCTTTCCCCTCCCT